TAGGATCAGTACTGTGTTGTCTTCAATATTTGTTCTAATATTTAAATAAGTCAATATATTTTAAAGTGAAATTATTGAATTGACTCGGTGAAATGCGGCGATTAATTGGTTAAACACTATTATTAAACAAAATTAGATTGAGAACGTAACTGTTTTAAGACGTTTCACACTAACTTAAAATTGCATTGCATTATATTATGTTCTATCATATTACATGTATTTTTTTAAACTCAATATAAGTTAATAATTGCTTACCTATTTATTTCGTTTTGTTTCTCAGCTGTCAAATTGGGCCTTTAACGTTGTGACGACCTAGTGGGTTGATATTTGTTTAATATTTATTTGGTATACATGTAACTACCTTAGCAATCTAGATAATAATATATTCATGTCATATAATTACGACATTTATGACTCATCAACACAACGAATGTGAGTACCTACTTACATGAAATGGTTGATGGCGTTTTTATAAATAAATTATGACATTTAATACACTTTATTACCTTTTAAAATCCAGTAATTTTTATAGCTTCAACTCCATCATGAAATGAAAAGGCAACAGCAAGATTGGCTTTGGACTTAAGATCCGACTTAAATGGCATAGTGTTGATTTTAAATCTAAAGTATAAAGGGAAGACCGTTTCTTGGCCTACCCTTTCTGCTAATAACAACTCAATATTACAGAAAGTTGAATATTTAAATCATTACAGCCATTTATGATAATACCTACTTAACATTACATTTATTTGTTACACAGTATGATTGCACGCTATATTAATACTGTTTTTAACACGTTGAAAATACTAAAAAACATTGCTTAAGTAGCACCTTTATCAGATAACTAGCGTAATACATTTCAGACTTGGGTAAAAATGGGGTAACTCGTCACAGGTCCTAGAGACACGCGGTGATTGTAACGATTTTAGGGAAAAAAAAAACAAAAATTGCTGTGCGGCCATCGCGTTGAGCTTTACCGCAAACGGTTTTCAATTTCTTTGGCGTAGAGCACACTATCAGTATTTGTAGAAAGGAAAATTGGGTCCTGTTCTGCATAAATGAGTTAACCCACAAAATCACAGTTTCGAGATATTGAGCATTAAAGATTTTTGGCAACTATTTGTCATTACTCATTTAATTAATGAAGTTTATAGGACAATTATATACCAAAAGATTTGTAATGAAGTAAGCATTGTGACCACTTTATTGCTTTTTTAAGTAAACAAACTTATGATTAAATGAAAATGATTTAAATGAAATTGAAATGATTTGAATTAAATGAAAATGATTTATGCAAAGTTCGATATATCAACAAAATTATTACTTTATGTGTCAAGTGTGGATAACACATTTTTGCTAAATACGGAAAAGTCCCTATAAAGTGTCACTTAATCCTTGCAAACACTGAGAAATCACATTTTCATAGTGATCATGTATTAAATCAAGTAACAGTAGTTTTATTTTTGTCAGTCATCGTGTTTTGTTTTCAATAATCAATAGCCCTTCTTTTTTGACCAGTAACAATCACAGAAACGGAGCGTTCTTTACTTTTACGAGATTTGATCGAGACATGTGCGTCGAGGGTCTACCTCTTCCCACGTTTAAATCTACTAACATCCATCCTTTCTACTTGACCACATAATCTTTCACTACACGACGTTCTCTTATTACTTTTTCGTAGTGGCGCGCCTGCTGCGTCACAGTGGCGCACTGTAGCGGTTCTATACACGCCTAATTTGAAGACGCACTAACAGAGCACATACTACTCAAAGCTCTTATACTAATAGCATTTACCCTAATTTCATGCTTCTTTTGTCACACCCAATACTCGCTACCGTACATCAGGGTTGGAACCCGCACTTTCTTGACACGTTTTGGCTACCCATAAAGGCATACAGAGCTCCATTTACCTGATTTGGATACTTTCCGTTCAATATCATCACACTAAACATCTCTTATTAATATAGCCGCGGTCGTAGTGCTGGTGATCTTCTTGTGTATCTCACGCACCAATGAGCAGCTGCCATCGAGAGCAAGGGGAAGTAATGGCCGTGAGCTTAGATATTGCTAAGGCTTTTGATTGGGTCTGGCACAAGGCACTTCTATCGAAGCTACAACCTTACGGGCTTCCAAAAGTGCTGTGCACTTGGATCGCTAGCTTCCTGTCTGAGCGGAGCTTAAAAGTGGCTATGGGCGGATTGTGCTCTGACATCATGGTCATTAACGCCGACGATCCGCAAGAATCTGTGCTATCGCCAACCTTGTTCATCCTGCATATCAACGATATGTTATTTACTAGTAACATTCATTGCTATACCGATGACAGTACCAGTGATGCCTATTATACAGGTCGCACAAATATATGTGCAAGTGGAACAAAATAGATTGCAACTTGTGTCCAAAATGGAGACTTCTTTGGAGCAAGTCTCAGAAAGGGGCCGACAGAATCTTGTCAAATTTAATCCCGCAAAGACACGCGTTCACCGCTAAAAAATACCCATTTGTAATAGCGCCTAAGTTCCAGAACACCTTTACTCTTTTCTCCTTACCATCTCTAAGAGTATTGGGATGCTTGGACTCGACATCACGAACGAAGTCTAGTTCCGGGGTCACTTGGAGAGCAAAGCCAAACTGGCTTCCAAAAAGCTCGGAGTGCTCAACAGAGTGAAGCAGTATTTCTCACCAGGTCACCGATTTTTGTTGTATAAAACACAAGTACGGCCCCATATGGAGCATTGCTCGCATCTCTCGGCAGGAGCTCCTAAATACCAGATTGACTCACTTGACTCCATCTAACATAGGGCTGTTTGTATTGTCGATGGTCACAAACTCGCAGACGGTATGGAGCTCTCTATGCGTGTTTTACTGTCTTTACAATGAGGAGTGCTCTGAGGAACTTTTCGAACTGGTGCCACCGTCTCGTTTACATCATCACACCTCCCGCCAAAGGAGTAGAGTCCATCCCCACATCTTAGATGCCTGTCATTGATTCGTTCCTTCCTCGAACCTGCAAAGTGTGGAATGATCTTCCTCCTGAAGTATTTCTTTTGGGCTATGACATGGGGTTCTTCAAAAAGCGTGTTTACAGGGCTCTCAAAGGCTGGCAACGCTGCCAATCTTGTTTTCCCCATTTTTCCACTTTTATTCCTTTCAATTACCATCACCTTCGTCTTACTCACATTCGCCTTCATTCCTTTTCTTTCAAATTGAAATAAACCAATTAAGCTTCCGTTTTCGCAATATTCAAAATATCTTGAAAGATGCGCCATTAGTCAAAGTCTTATTTTAACAGTAAAAGGATTATTCTCATCGCCCAATCCTCGGTTTCGGAATCTTATATCATTTTCCGGTTTGTCCATATCATCGACAAAATTTTAAGTATTTAAATTTTTCAAACAAGTTGTATGTGTTAAGCGTACTTAAACTAAATCGTTTCAAACAATGTTGAAAGACATGTATTGTAATTCGCATTTATGGTTTAACCACACACAACACATTTTTGCGAAATTCGCCTGTGAGACGAACCAGATTTTGTGAATTTTTTTTTTATTTAACAATTACTACGATTTTTTAAATATATTACTGAAAAGAATATTAAACTTTAAATTACAAGGTATAATACTACATTCATAACTCATTTTACGATTTTCTGTGGGTGAACACATTTATGCAGAACACGGCCCAATTATGGATCCTTGGATGGTGGATGACTTCCAAGAACCCTTTCTGTCAATGATTAGGACCTGAGGTTTTGTCCCGCACGCCATATCAAAAGTTGTCGTACTAATTCATTGTTAACGTTGTTAATTTGTACTTACTAGTATAATAGACATGTAAAAATTACTAAATACATTGGTGTTGGTATTTTAAAAACTACCGTACTACATAATATTCCAAAATGTAAATCTCATTCCCAGTTTTGTATTACAAGTTAAAATATTTACGACATAATAATAACAGAAAAAAGCATTCAATCGTATATCATACGGTGCCTATACTGCCGCCGTTAGTTGAAAGGGCGCATATGACATTAAAAAAGTATACTGACGAAAAAAAATATATAAAAAAGGCCGATCTGTCACTATTTTTATTTTTTCCTGGGTAGATCAGATATGAAGTTACCCCGAGAGAAAAGTATGTATTTTTTTATTTTAATTTATTTAAACATTATTTTCTTGGTTTCGAGTTTGTCACAAGCACTCTTTCAACTAACAGCCGCAGTGATGATGAAATAAATTTCAGTAAAATATAACTATAATAAAGATTTGTATAATTATGCTACATACGTCATATCAAAATATACAAATCCGTCGATGGAAGTTGCTCAATACAAAGAATTAAAAAAATTGCACCTTATAAATTTTAACTTTATTTTTTAATTTTACCTAAAGTTATTGGCAAAAAGTTATCCGATAATGTTACCCGGCCCCCGATTCTAGATCAAAATAGTCATTTATTCGCAGTAGTTCCAAGTTCTACATGGAACTACTGGAACCCAAAAGTTCCATACATAGAACTAGTCGGTATAAAAAATATTTTTTTTATTCCAATTACTTCCATAAGGAAGTATATTAAGATACACTAGTTTAACCTAGGCTATATCAGTTGGAATGAGGTTTATCCGGTAACATATAGTATGGAAATTGAATGGTAAGCCTTAGTAAGCCACAAAATTAATGTTTTAACAACCAAAACAACTTTCATCTTTCCTAAAGCAAAACGGTCATAAGAACTTCATGTATTTTGCAAATATAAAAAAATCAAGATGATTCTTTCTTGTTGTGGTACCATGTACATTTCCATACTTCGTACTCAAGGATCACATAGTTGATTTCATTGTATATTCTTCTATCTTTATCTTAGTAGGTTGAATTCTAAGTTTCACAAGAGTGACTATGTTATGAAAAAACACCGTAAAAACTATTAATAAAAAAAAACAGGCTAGACCCCACTTGTCCGCTTATTTTTTTGCTCCAGCATTTCGTTCAATACAAATGAGTGTTTTACATGCTTGACGCTGAAATGTGTTGGTAAGTGGTACTCAACCCATTAATATCTCTGACAATAACCATGAAACAGCTATGAAAATAACACCTTTTATTTTTTGTATGGTCAATGATTATTTTTCCATAAAACAAAAGTAAGCTATTCTAAATAACCAAAATGAACTTTTGTTACTCTTTTTTTGTTCAGCGGCGATGTTTGGTTAAAAAAAAACCAAGACAAGGTCCTCTTAGATCCAGTAAACTGTCAGCCATAAAGACTTACATTTTTTGAAGAGAATTATTAGTTACAAATACAAAATCCAACTTATTAAAATAGTTGATAATGGCAAACAGTGTTTGCGGGTACACCTGGTGAGAAATAACCGCCGCCTTACAATTACGGTATTAGGTAGTATTCATAAAATTGCAAATTAGTGCTGGACCAATCAATTTGCAGCACATCAGTGCTGTTTTAGGATAGAAAGTGGTGGTGATACAAAACTGAATATTATTAAATTAAATTACTGAGCAGGCTGTGACTTCGTAATGCGCTTAGCACCTCTGTTGGGTGGACCTTTTGGCTTGGCGAACGCCGGTCTGTGTAGGTTTCTCTTGGGGTGAATTTCGTCATATAGGAACTCTTCTGTCAACTCCTTGCCATCATCGATTTCTATCTAAAATTTTCAATAGATTGGTTAATGAAATTCAGAAGGGAGACTTGTACTTGTTGAAATTTCATTTGGTTGAAAAAAAAGTTATTTTGTTTCTGTCCATAAATCTTGATTCACATATTGTTGACTTTCATTTATTTATATAATTATAAGGATTTACTTATATTATTCATATTGCCTACTATTTACTTAACTGCCTCGGTGGCCGAACGGTTACCATGCTGGTCTGCGACACAGAAGTCCCGGGTTCGATTCCCGGGCCGGGAGAAATATTTGTATGGCCTACATTTATTTCTTTTGCGAGTTTGGGTGTAATAAGTGTGTGTCCACGGCACCCGCGATACAGGGTTTCCTTAGTGCGAGCCTATGAGTATATTATGTATATACTCCGATTACGTGCGACCTCCACGGCGTATTTTTTACGGCGATTCAAACGAGATTCAGTCGCAGCCAGTAAACTTTTGCATATGATGCTTATTGAGCCTCTACGGCACTCGTGAAACGCGTGTCGTCCGCGCGTAAAAAAGACGCAGTGTAAATAACCTGTTACGCATCGTACCATTAATGATTCCGACAATCTAATGTAGTGTGTAATGTGCCAGTTAACCACACCAATTGTCTGGTCTCAAGCTTGATAATTACCTGTACTGTAAGTGCCAATACAGAATTCACTCAGGGGCACTACCCATAACACCCAGATCAGAACAAAGTAGAGAAGATTTCTCAATTAGGTCCTACCAGGAATCGAACCGTGTAAACTGGTGGGCCACCGAGGTTGTTTAATCAATAATGACAAAATGGCTAATAGAATATAATAGAATTATTTATTTCCGGCATAGACCCATATAAATTGATAGTAACATTTTCACTTAGAATAGATTAGTTACACAACATAATATTTAGTTAATACATGTGTCGTTCATTGAAAAAGTGAATTAAGTGCTTGTAATTAAATTTTCAAATAATGAGCTTTAGCAAATTAATGTGTAGTAATTTTTGAGTAAACCAGTATACCATCTATGGGATGTTAGTGCAATTATTGGAGTTGTTTCACTTTTATAATGAAAGATATGACTAAATGTGATACTTTTAAGCAAATAATATGTGTTTTAAAATATGGACTTACACCACTTTTATAATAACCGACACATATATAAAAACAGATTGGATTTGCCCAACTCAGTAATTTAAAATTGGACAACCAAATCTGCCTGCAACCCTTTTTTTTAGCCTGGTGTGGCTACTTCTGACACGAGTCAAAAGCGATACAATTTTTTTCCGCATTATCACTTGGAAGCCATATGCGCCTCTGCGAACATGCCTGATAAGATATACATATATAATGTATTTGGGAAAAACGGATAACTTAAAATTTGACATTGTGATGATGATTTAGTTTAACCCGAAGACCGTGGATATATTTCGCTTTCGTAAAACCGCACGTAGTTCCAGTGACTTGCCACTGTTGCTTTTCGTATCTTCACATCTAACTAATGTATTTTTATGTATAAAATAATAAAGAACAATCACTCTCTTATCTCTCTGTAGATGTTGCCGCGGTCGTTATCAATCTAAGCAATGATCAATATCTAAAACCGAGCTTATGTGCTTACCCGTTTTTCAATAACAAGTCCCATTTTCTCAATAATGTCTAAGAACTGTCCCTTGCAGCTCGAATACAACATCCTCTCTTTTATACTACAGTTGTAGCCAGGCATTGAGTAGATGAACACTGGAACGTAATATTTACAAAAATATATTTAAACAAATAACGTGTATAAGTGTGACAATGCAGAATTATGCAAATAAAACGGTTGGGGCCCATTATACAGCACACATCAGCACCGCGTCACCACCCTTGATGCTGGAGCGTTCTGACGGTAATCCTTAAAAACATAGATTACTATAAATTCAGTGCAGATCCCGTAGGTATGGTAACGAGTGGGGTGGACCCCTAATGGGTTGTACTTTACTTAAGCCCGCCATATTATGGAATCCAAGGTTCAATGATATTTAATTAACTTGTTTACCACTCAGAGCTAACCATGTAATTCCAAAGTTGGTATTTTTGTTATAATACCAAATGCGTCTGGTGGTAAGCGACACGCCTATACATAACAGTTGCAGTGCCACTCAAAGCTTTAAATCGCAAAGATCCTAGGGGCACTGCTACTGCGCCCGTCACCCTGAGACATAAGTTGATAAGTCCCATGTGCCTGTAATTTCACCAGCACCATTACCCTCCCAAACCGGAGCGCAATAATGCTTATATTACTGCTTGGCGGCGGCAGAACTAGGGAAGGTGGCAGTACTTCCCTGGATGAACACTTTCACATGGAGCTCTACTGCTACTAAAAAGTTCGACGTTTAAACAAAGTCTTTGGCATAAATACATATTTATGCCTTTTGTAAGAAATAAACAAACCAAAAAAAAAAAACTGTAAAGTAGATTACTTGAAGTACTTATTCTACGTAAAAGAAGTCGCGGGCACCAGCTAGCAGTATTTAAATCTACGTCAAACTGAAATGGCACGTCCCCAAAGGGGTGTCCAACTAAATAAATAAAAAAATAATCTTAGAAATCGCTGCTTACTATTGCCGGAGTGTATATAAGGTAACAGAAATATGGACAATGTCGAAGCCGATGTTCATAATTAAACACATATAAATTCTTCTAAGTTCAGTTTACTTAAAAAAATCCTACCTATACTCTCCATATGGTCACCT